AATGGATGGATGGATGGATGGATGGATGGATGGATGGATGGATGGATATGTGTTTGTGTTGAGTATATTAAAGATTGGCCACCCCAGTCATTTGAAGAAACTATTCTTTCTAGTGTTTATGTTTCTTCCAATTATAGTTTTCTCAAATAATTGCTGTATCTGAAGGTTACTCTGTGGTGTTGAAGGCCGCCCCCTGGCTCCACCATTGTGCCTGGTGGTGTCTCAAATTGGTCCCACCACTTGCCAGGATCCATCACAACGTTGCATCGAACAAGCAACAATATTTAAAAAAACTAGATCCAAAACTACAAGCATTCACTATTCACATCCCTCAGCGATGAGACCACATGTCACTTGTTTAACATAAATCTACGTCTGTAAATTCTGTAAAACATAATTGAAGTAAAAATAATTAAAGTAAAAAGACATTTATTGAAACACATTTTAACTCCTGTGAATACCATCAGAGGTTTTCTTCTGACTGCTTTAGCATTAGTTTAATCCATTTTCCCGCATATATATATATATATACATTGATAGCTCTAGTTCTCCCTCGTGCTGCAGATCTGGTCCAGGTTTTATTGATCATCACGAGCTGTGAAAACTTCCACTGGAAGCTTCGTCCTTCCAACTCCAACACGCCTTGTTTAGCGAGTTTCCTCCAAAGAAGATGATTGTACCTTTTATTCATTGAACAGAGCAAATCACTCGTCATTGAAACTTCTCGGGGCGTGAGCAATCCAATCGCCTCTGAGTTGAAGATGCAATTACTCTGAAATTGGACAGAAGGAAAATGTGCCTCACGTTGGAGCGGTGTGTGTCGAAAGCCACCGTTCAGCTCTTCATACAGTAAAACGCAGTTGTTTTGAGTGGGTTCAAAGAGACGTATTTTCCTCCTGTTTGGGACGAACACCTTTGTGGAGCAGATTGTAGACTTTTTAAAAGCTGAAGCGTTCAAGGTTAAGTTTTACAAAAACACTCACTTATTCTTTTATAACTCAAAGTCCTTTAAAGAAAATACAATTCAATTCAAAATCACTATTAATCCCAAAGGGAAATAATTTGTTGTTGTAACTCGTTATCCTCATTTCATTAAGAGATGTTATAGATGCTGATGACTGTAGACAGGAAGGATCTCTTGTAAAGGTCCATCCCACAGTGGATCCTAAGAAACTGGCTGCAGATGCCGTCCACCCAGACTCGGCTGGCCTCTCGGTTCCCCCGGGCTGTAGGACCATCCGAATGCTGGGCAGAACTCCTCCCAGAGCGATGGCCACTCCTCCCAGCAGTCTGCCGAGCTCCTCGTCGCTGCGGACAGCCAACAGTAGGTGCCGAGGGACGATCCTGTCCTTCTGCTGTCACGAGCCGTGTTTCCTGCTAGTTCCAGGATCTCAGTGGTCAGGCACTCGAGCACAGCTGGCAGGTAGATGAGAATGCGTCCACAGAACATCCTTTTCAACTCATTTGAGATTTGGGGCTGTAGCTGAGATATTATGAGCTTTTGAGATGTTAATCAGCTGCTGTTGGTTGTAGAAAACTGCCTTGTTGCCATGGTTACACATCATAACAAATGTCCAAAACTAAAAAAGTTTCAGTAAAAATCCTTCCAGCTGCACAGCTTCTGATACCAGAGGAAACAATCATCCAAAAAAAATGTGATTTACATCCAGAAAAAAATTAGTTTCCAAAAGCAAAATCTCAGAATGAAAGTAACGGAGCTGCTCCAACATGCAGCCACCTTGAGCGACGCAATCCTAGAATATACGAGAACAAACACAAGAAGTAAATAAGGCTTTAAGTTTGTTTTTTTCTTGAGTGCTCGACTCGTCAGCTGAACGACATGACGGCGAATAAAGTTCTGGAAGTAAATCCGTCCTGGCTGCTGATCATTGTGCGCCGGTTAAATTTGGAAAATATAATTCATTTTTGTGGGGGAGCGCCTCACTCACTCTGTACAAAGCAACAGTCTTCATCTCTAAACTGATAAAAAAGGTTATTCCTAAAGTACGCTGCTGAAAAGATTTTCAATTAAAATTGGCTTAAAAGATCCCCACCCTCCATCTCCCTGAAAATTTTGATATTATTGCAAGACTTAACCATAAACTGTAATATAAATTAACTCTTATCTATATGTGCTTACAGTTGAAGCAGACCTTTGAGAAACTATTAAAAAAAACTTGGGAACTTTAACTTTGCAGGAAGCGGTATATAAAGGAGCCGCTTGCCGTACATCTCATTAAGTTTTGTGAACTAGTTCTGAAAGGGAGAAAACCTTTGATTAAGGAGAATAAATGCCTTTTTAAGATTTCATTTTCTTTGAGGAAAAGACTTTCAAGGTCTCTGCAAAGACGATAATAAAATGCTTCCGACCATTATTTGTAACGTTGTGCAAACACAACCCGATGCTTTACTTTTGTACACCCTGTCACTGTAACACATCGTTTCTGGTTTTATACTCGGACTCCATAACTGGGTGACAGTTTAGCCTTTTAAGACCAGCGTTAAATCTCTAAACAGCATTGGCACTGTGCTGATAAAAACAGTGTTTTGCAAAATGCTTATGTTGGCTTTATTGTCCCCTGTTGCAAAGAGGGGAATTGGAAATACTCTCCATCTTGTGAGTTGGACAACGTGGAAAAATAAGTGAGGGACTGACTTCCATTTTTCCATAACATCCATCCATTTTCTTCCGCTTATCTGGGGTCAGGTCGCAGGGATAGCAGCCTAAGTAGGGAGGCCCAGACTTCCCTCTCCCCAGCCACTTGGGCCAGCTCCTCCAGGGGAATCCCAAGGCGTTCCCAGGCCAGCCGACAAACATAGTCCATCCAGCGTGTCCTGGGTCTTCCTCTGGGTCTCCTCTGTGGGACATGTCCAGAACACCTCACGAGGGAGACATCCAGGAGGCATCCTAACCAGATGCCCGAGCCACCTCAACTATTCTAGAATTGCGCCGCTCGGGGTGGCTGCATGTTAGAGTAGCTCTGTAACATTCATTATGAGATTTTTGGAAACTTTGATTCCTCTTTTGCTGGATGTAAATCACATTTTTTGAATGATTGTTTCCTCTGGTGTCAGATGCTGTCTAGCTGGAAGGATTTTTACTGAAACTGTTTTACTTTGGGACATCTGTTATGATGCGTAACCATCACAACAAGGTGGCTTTTACAACCAGGTGCTGCTGATTAACATCGCAAAGCTCAAATATCTCAACTACAACCCCAAATTTCAAATGAGTTGAAAAGGAGGTGCCATGGATTCATTCTCATCTCCCTGCCGGCTGTGCTTGAGTGCCTGACTGCTGAAATCCTGGAACTGGTAGGAAACGTGGCTCGTGACAGCAGAAGGACCGGGATTGTCTGCCGGCACCTACAGTCGGCTGTCCGCGACGATGAGGAGCTTGGCAGTCTGCTGGGAGGAGTGACCATCGCTCTCGGAGGAATTCTGTCTGGCATTTAGGCAATCCTGCAGCTGGGGGAAACGGAGACTAGCTGAGTCAGGGTGGATGGATCGGATGTCATCTGCGACCATTTTCTTCTGACCCACTATGGGACGGACCTTTGCAAGAGATCCTTCCTGCCTACAGCCATCAGAATCTATAACATCTCTTAATGAAACGAGGATAACGAGTTACAACAACAATTTGATTTCCCTTTGGGATTAATAAAGTATATTTTTTTATTTGAATTTGAACTGGCTCCTCTTGACGTAATGAAGCAGCAGCTCTACTCCGAGTCTCTCCCAGATGACCGAGCTTCTCACCCTATCTCTAAAAGAGA